GGGATGAACGGTGTTCAACTCTCCGGTATCCATATTTTCCGCCATCTTGAAACTGAAGGCGGGCTTGTGAGTTTTGTTACTAAAACTACAATTTTTTACTCAAGGTGACTAAGTACGAAGTTCTTGATGTCCACAAGAGCTTCCTGACACACTAATAGTTCGGTGGCTGTGTTGATGGGTGGTAACAATGTATTTCCACCGCAAAAACAATGATATTTTGGCAAGCCCAAATTTCAACCGTGAATCAATCTCGTGGTTAAAAATGGAAGTATGCAAATCAGATGACAGGGGAAGGACGCCCCCTACGGGAGCTATCCACTGTTATTTCGATTTTATTTAACCAGTATATATGATAATTGGCAACTATCCCATTTGTTTATGAAATTAAAATCTCATTAACCAAAGGGGTTAGTATGCAATACTCTGTAATAAACATAAAGTGCAAGGCGCCTGAATTGTAAATCTGAGATAACAAATCCCTTAAAAAATAATGTGTGTTACATTGAAATCTGCCCTGACACCAAGAACTGTACATTCAGGTGTATTTCTAAAGGGCAAAATTTAGTTGAATTCAATCAATTAATGATTCAGTGAACAACACATGCAATTTTGGGTTTGTAAATACAGTAGAGCAATTGCTTTCAAGGATACCAAGTTTTTTGAAAAATATGTTAATATTGGTCACTAAGATTCTATGGTGATATGTTAACGTGGTGATAGATGATAAAATGCTACTTTCATCCACTTATATAACATGTTGCATTGATTCTACTTGGATAGAATGTATTTTTGACATTTTTGTATAAAATTGTCATCAATCAAACCACCCGTAACACAAACAGTTGACACTGGAGGGTGATGAGGCACAGATATCAATGATTTTAACATTATCTACCTTGACATAATGCAATTGTGACTCAGTATTAATCCTATAATGGTTGAACTCTGCCTGCATGTTTAGAAACTGATCCTGGGTTGTTAAAAGCTCCTGTGAAAGAAGGAAAAAGCCAATTACCATCCTACATCAGACAAAAGCTCAAATGACATGGAAGGAATGTGAACTGATACCTATTTATTTTCTCTAGTCACAAGTCAAACAAAAAAATTAAAAAGATTACATATCCATTCATTTTGTGAAAACACATTTCTCACTGTGAATTGAATGTTTATTATTTGTTTTGGAATATCTTTCAGGTATATACCAGATTAAAATAAAATCCATGCAAAAATGCCTCAAATAGAGTAAAAATACCACCAACTTTTGAGCAAGAATATTATGTACTTACAGAAGTTAAGACATCAATCAATGCCCTGTGTTCTTGTAGTCCCTCTTCCAGTCTTACTCTTGATTTACTCTCATTCTGAAGTAATGTTTCACTCTGAAAAAATGGATATTAAACAAGATATGAATGTCACAGTACCCGTCATTAAATTATACAAGCAGCATGTCGACTGAGATAGCTCCACTGTTAGCAATGCACATTTCAATTAAAGAACTGAAGATATCATTAGATACAATATGTATAGTATCAAAGCAATCGGACTTGCTGTTTTCAACAAGAATTCGAAAATATCACCAAAAATTACAAAAATATTCATCAAAATTAGAAATCATCGTGAAATGAAAGAATTTAGGAGAGGTCTACCTGAGGTACCTATTGTATAGTATCAAAGCAATCAACTTGCAATATTTAACAAGCAGACGAAAATATCACTTTTTACCAAAAATGACAAAAATATTCATTAAAATTAGAGAATTGAAGATATCATCATCAAATGAACAAATCTGAGAGAGGTCTACCTGTAGTACATATATGTATAATATCAAAGCAATCAGACTAGCGGTTTTTAACAAGAAGACGAAAATATCACTTTCTACCAAAAATGACAAAAATATTCATCAAAATTAGAGAATTGAAGATAACATCATGAAATGAACAAATCCGAGAAAGGACTAACAAAGAACCTATGTTGAAAATATGAAAGCATTTGGTTTAACGGATTTGAAGAAAAAGACTACATACTACAGAAGCCGGACGCCGCCGGACAATCACTCATATGATAAGCTCCACTCAACAAAGTCAACAGTGGAGCTAAAATACTCATGTTAAAATAATACATGTAACATCTGCAAACAGGTGAAATAATATGTACTCTATGTGGGTACAACTCATCATAAAGTGATTTCCCTTAATCTAGTATTGTACTGATAACTGAAAACTTCCATTGACCCATCTCCAAAATCTTGGAGTACACAAGTGCAACCAAACTATGTCCCATACATGTATACATGCTCAAGAAACTGCATTCATAAATCTGAGTAAACCTTGATGTTCCCTTAGTAACTTGACTTCTTTGTTGGTAATTCAGGTCTTTGTATATTACCAGGACCTGGGTTTGTTTCAGTATCACCACTATAATTCCCATCAAAATGTAGCCCTGACCCCCCTCTACATTTTCCACTGAGATTACCAGGGTAGTAATGGTACAACCCATTTATCCACTAGCAACTGAAGCTATATTAACACCACATGTGTCAATGTGCCTGGCAAAATAGTAACTGCAAAGTGTTTTCACTGATTTTCAACTTTGTGAGCCGGTATTTCAGTGATGGCTCTTTATAATGTAATGCAATTTTTACAGTTTAAAGATATAATACACAAAAACATTTCTGACCACTTTTTTTCACAATTTCAGCGTTAATTTTTCATAAAACCAAACAAAAACCAGACTGTGGTTCATTTCTGTCACTGATTCAGATCAAGGTCATGACATCACTAAAAACCCTAGCATTACATCTAACCTAATTATTTATTCTGAGCATGCTCAGTTGTTCTCTCAGTGTTGGATGAAAAATCATGAAAAATACCCACTTAGGATTTTAAGATCTGGAAAAAAAATTATGTGCAAGTTTCATCAATATCCACTGCAGAATTTCTAAGAAAATGTTCTAGAGATGTAAAGGAAATAGGACGGATGAAACTGGAAATAAGAAACTATACTCCCTTTTTAGGCTGAGCCTGAACGGGGACAAATTGGCATGGGCAAAACTGATTCAATTGTTTGTGTCTTCTTTTATCATCATGTTTTTACATTATAACATGATTTGTATATTTTGGAATATTTAATGAGCTTGTTTTGTAAACTCTCCTACCAGTTTTGTACACCCTCATATGATGTGGCAGTATCAACACATCATGGTCAATGCATGCTGTCAAATGCCATAAATTATTATTACAAACAGTAGATTCCTAATACTCCCAGATAAAGCTGTGTTGACTCATTCAGCACTGGCCAAACTTAAATTCAACCATTGATTGACTGATTGATTGTTTGAAATTACAAACTGTCGTGTCATTGGTTAATGACATGCTGTTAAAGTCTGTTAGACTACTGTTAGAGATGCACAATTCCAAAAACAATTTGATTCACAAAGTTGATAAGATTATCAATTTGTAACATAAGATAGTTTTAATTTTAAGAGTAATAGTCAAAATGGATATTGCCATAACACTGGGTATATTCAGACTGTAAAAACTTTCAAGCTGAATCACATGAATGATATTCAAGTCTTGAATGAATTGGATCATAAAAACAAATGGATGGGCATTGTAAATTGTATCCCCAGATGCACTAATACTTGTATGTATGTCAGGCGTTTTAATTTTTGTATGGAATAAGGGTCAACTTATTAGTTTTTATTTTATATAATGTACTTTATTTTCAATCACAAAGCAATGCCTGCAAAGCAATACCTGAAGAAAAAACCCTGCAATTACCTGTTTTAAATACTGTACAAGCTTTGTAATTGTATCTAATAATGAAGCCGTATAACCACCAAGTCCTTCCGAGTCCTTTACAGGTTTAGGAGATCTCTGTCTACCAGTTAATCTTTCATACTCTTCCACTTCTTGTTCCAGGCCTGTTATCACCTACAAAACAATAACATCATACTCTGAAATTTAAATATGTGTACATTGAAAAACCTGTTTAAACTGAACAACTAATGAACCTATAAAAGTTGTTCAATTTCCAGAGCAAATCTATGGAGATAAGACAAATCTTTTAATCTAATCATTGAAAGCTTTGAACAGGTTTCCAGTTTACACAGAGTTCAGTTGATATAGGTTTCCAGTTTACACAGGGTTCTGTTGATATAGGTTTCCAGTTTACACAAGGTTCAAGTTTACACAGGGTTCTGTTGATATAGGTTTCCAGTTTATACGTTGGGTTCATTTTGGCCAAGTTTCCAGTTTATACGTTGGGTTCATTTTGGCCAGGTTTCCAGTTTATATAGGTTTCGAGTTTATACGTTGGGTTCATTTTGGCCAGGTTTCCAGTTTATATAGGTTTCCAGTTTACACAGAGTTCACTTTACACAGAGGTCAGTTGATATAGGTTTCCAGTTTACACAGGGTTCTGTTGATATAGGTCTCCAGTTTACACAAGGTTCAAGTTTACACAGGGTTCTGTTGATATAGGTTTCCAGTTTATATAGGTTTCGAGTTTATACGTTGGGTTCATTTTGGCCAGGTTTCCAGTTTATATAGGTTTCGAGTTTATACGTTGGGTTCATTTTGGCCAGGTTTCCAGTTTATATAGGTTTCCAGTTTACACAGAGTTCACTTTACACAGAGGTCAGTTGATATAGGTTTCCAGTTTACACAGGGTTCTGTTGGTATAGGTCTCCAGTTTACACAAGGTTCAAGTTTACACAGGGTTCTGTTGATATAGGTTTCCAGTTTATACGTTGGGTTCATTTTGGCCAGGTTTCCAGTTTATATAGGTTTCCAGTTTACATTGTGTTCAGTTTACTCAGGTTTCGAGTTGATATAGGTTTCCAGTTTATACACTGGGTTCAGTTTACTGAGGTTTCCAGTTTACACAAGCTCCAGTTTAAACAAGTTATATATTTAATATAGAGTGTGGGTGGAAAAGTTTTAGACAACATTTAAAGCATTTTTCAAAGCAAAGTGAGTTAAAGTTCAACTTACTCTTTTCAGTCCATCCACATCAGTAATTGTAGATGCATTTATAGCAGCAGTAGCTGTGTCTCCACTCACAGTTCTCTTTTTTGTCTTACGAACCTTGATGGTATCATTTATAGCCAGACCTTCAGAGATACAATTATTAACTAGAATAAGTTGACATGCACCCTTTATTTACAGAAGTTGGTATGTGTATTTAACACAAATACATCAAATCAAGCCTGCATCTCAATATGTTGGGAAGTTTAACAGGAAATCAATAAAAAACAAGCCATGCATGGCACAGTCCCCGTTAGTTATCAAATTTAAGATATATAGTTTTGTTTATAGTAATATAGCTGGAATGTAACCATGTCAGGAATATGATTTTTTAACATTAAAATGATTGACATTTGTATCTGATCGTCAAACAAGTACTTGTCAATATTGAGAGATATTGCTCTGGAACAGCATTCAAAATCAGCCATTTTAAATACATGTATATATATAACATGATGTATAACAAATATCTAAAATTTGAATATATAATCAGTCAAAGCATTTAAGAGATATGGCTCTCGAAGCCCAATCATTAAAACAAAATGGCCGCCAGTCAGCCATTTTGAATCCAATCTGAAAAATAAAATGACATTCATCAGGAACCTGTAATGTCTAATGTACATGTATGTACCAAGTTTGAACGAAATCCATCCATAAATGCCAGAAAAGCTTGATATTTAATGTTTTTTTAGCACAAAAATGACCACCATTCAGCCATTTTGAATAGGATCATCAAACCAATATATCTGTTTATCTATGACATGATGTATGATGAATATTTGTTAACGTTGGCCATTTTGAATCTTATCAGAATAACAAAATTATTTGCATCAAGGTCCCATAATGTCTAATGTACAATGTACATACCAAGTTTGAACAAAATGCATCTGTAAACAGCCGAGAAATGCTTGATTTTTAAGATTTTTTAGCACAAAAATGGCCGCCATTCGACCATCTTGAATCAGATCGTAAAACAAAATGATAAGCATCAAGGTCCTATAATGTCCAACGTATATACGAGGTTTGAACAAAATCCATCTGTAAACAGCTGAAAAATGTTTGATTTTGATGATTTTTAGCATAAAAATGGCCGCCATTCGGCCATCTTGAATCAGATCGTAAAACAAAATGATGTGCATCAAGGTCCTATAATGTCCAACGTATATACAAGGTTTGAACAAAATACATCTGTAAACAGCTGAAAAATTATTGATTTTGATGATTTTTAGCATAAAAATGGCCGCCATTCGGCCATCTTGAATCACATCGTGAAACAAATTGACGTGCATATGTATATCATGATGATGTATGTGTATGTATGTTTGATTGTGATTGGTCCAGGCATTTCTAAGATACAGGTCCGGGAGCACGCACACACGCACACACACACACACACACATGGACACACAGAGGTCAAAACATAAGTCCCCGTTTTCAGACTGCGTCCAAAGGGGGACTAATAAAACGTTTATCAGGCAGACAACTATGAGACATGCATTTTTCCCTCATATATCTTTTCATTCATTCATTCAACTTTAGGGTAAGGTAAAGTTGAATTCAGTGTATTGTACATTTGATGTGATAATCAGATAAGATATGGTGTTCGAGAGTGAAGCAACAAGGGACATAAAATTCGGTCTACACAACATGCTCTGGAAATCCAGAAGTTGTATTTCCATCATAAAAGGAAATCATACAATATTGATAATAAATGGTTACCATGGATACTAATGTATCCTTGACTTACAATTACATAAATTTTAATCTTTTAGGGGCAAGACTGTGACAGCTACTAGTATGCCTGCAAATCAGATACCATATTGCTAATACACGTACATTTCTCAAAAAGGGTTCACCAACCCTTATGACTAGGTAATGAATTTTATATTTGTTTGCAGGGACATAGAGGTACAGATACATGAAGAATCAGAAACTTGTTTTGTCTGCAGGATTATCCATTAGTATTAGGACAAACACACAGGATGTATAATATTACCAAAGACCCCCTCAAATGTAATCTGACAGATTATGTATGTACATGTATGAGAAAATGTAAATCCATTCTTCAGGGTTTAATCCTGCCATTCTGAAGATGAACAATTTAAAGGTCAAAATTTAACTGTCTTAAACTGACAAACTGTAAAACAAATATACAGGACATCACTTGTGTCTAGCTAGCTCTATTACAAAAACAATTTGATATTGATAAATTGACAAATGGCCACAAGGGGACATACATATATTAATAAGGATGGACAATAATTGTAATACCTTCTTGAATTATAGATTCGTGAGTTGGTGTCATCAAAGAACTACTGTTAGCTGTAAAATAAAGAAGAAATAAAAACAGATTTGCATGCATTTGATTTGATTTTGATGGAGTTTTAAAAAAAATGACATTTGGCCATCTTGTCACATATTCGTGAAGTTTGAATTTGATTGGACCAGGCAAGTGTGAGATACACATGGAGACCCACCCACACACGTGCATGCACAGAGGAAAAAACTTAAGTTCCCATTTTTGAATTTAAACTGAAATTATACATGATAAATTTGTATCGACAATAAATAATGTAATATTTTATTATCTCCTGGGGAAGCCTGAATACTACCGGTACTATGACAACCAAGACCATTGGCACAAACAAAAGGACATCAATTATTCACAATAAACCTTTTCACCATAAAATAAAATTAAAAAAAAATACACAAGTGAATTAATGCCCCAAAGGGAAATGAAATATTTTGATGAGAAAAAATGAAACAGACACTCAGTGACGATACCATATGTATCCTCTTGACAACAGTCATGCTCCCTCCAAGGTACAATTAAATAAAAATGGATTATTTAATTGGAATTAGACAATCTACTTTAGAAAATAGATACAGATAGTCCACAGATATTGTTACTACCTGTAACAGTATTGTATAATCAAAAAGAGTAGAAAATATGGGAACTTGGAAACTGTGGTATACATCAAAGGGAGTAGAATGTCGCTCTGTGCTACGTTTCTTGGTGCATCATGATCTTTTGTGCAAGCGTATAGGTGCATGCAACAAGTCCACGACCACCACGCCATACTTTTTCCATGAGTTTATTTGTAACCAGATTTTTAAAATACGCTGTAGCAAATATGTTTACAACAGACTAGTTTGGGTGCCGCTGTTCATGTACTGTGTAGATCTGTTTCTGTTTTAAAATCAAGGAATAAAGATACTGTATTATCGTTTAATTTTATAGTCGCAATATAATTGGGCTGCCAACTGTTAAAATGTAATTAATATTTTTAATAGTGAACTCTGTACATGTATGTGTGATGCAACTTGTCACAGACTATTAAATTTTAATCTTTCATGCTGAATGTTCAAAATCACATTCCAATTTCACATCAAAGAAAATACCTATATTCGAAAGTATATTTAACATAAACCAACAAATTGTTCTTAGTTTAGCACCAGCATAACTCTGTACTCTTCTACACTTGATTCAAGCAAGTTAAATCAGCTTGCATTCACCAATCAGAATACAGGGATTCTTTGTACATTCCCATTATTACACAGAACTATATCATGTAGGAGATAATACAATTGGTAATACACTGCTTATCATAGCCTGAACCAACAGTATTGTATTGCATAACTACATACATGTACATGTATATTGGGTAAGAGATGTCAGAACAAAGACAGACTGTTATGATCTATTAAAACAACACATTTCCTTTATGTTTACACTATGATTTGATTTTATGCTGTTGTTTCCAAAACCCAAATTATAATATATGGCTGCCAAATCACTTTTAAAAGAAAAACAAAAGTCAAACATCCATGAAAATGGTGATTTTTGGGTCATTCGTACCTAATGATAACAAGTTCTCATCATATATCAACATTTTGTTTTGTTACACATGGTAAAAAATTGATATTTATTTATAAGTTGGGTTATTATGGTTATAAAGTTAGGACATTCTGATGATTGTTAATCATTTTTTATAATTCTTTAACATGGCTTCTTAAGAAAATTATTTCAAAATGTAAATTTTCCATGTTTTTAAAAAAAAAATATTTAGCACCAGAAAAGAGAACAAGAAAAGTTGATGACATTTGTAAAATCAATATTGTGATACATTTATTCCATATTATCTATTAGGTTGAATACATGTCATCTACCTCAAATTAATAATAATAACACTTTATTATCATCGTAAAAAAATTACAATCTTTTTAGGCTCTGAGTAATAAAATAAAAAATTATTATAAATGAACAGAGTTAACAGGATCAGATTGAAATGTTTACAGTTGTAATGCTATAATTCACACTGTATTTCACATGCAGTAATAAATTACATTATCGTCTCATCACAGTCCAACTGAGCTCTTGAACAATTGCTTTTTAAGTACCCCTATTTTTTATGAAACTTTTGTATTTAATGCATATTCGTGTTTTATACAAATTAGCCAAGTTCCACTAACAAGCAAATTATTTCATTTTGATCCTAACCATAGTGGATGACAAAAACATGACTTTCTTGTCAAAATTATTGTGCACTTTTTTATATTCTTTTAATTTGTCAATTTTCAGTTTTTACTAAAAATTTGACTATTTTTGTCCCAATCTTCTGAAGGAAAGTGCAGACTATAAACAAGATTATTTTGTGAATCCATGATGAAAAGAGGGAACTCGTGGCAAAAAGGTTAATCCATCATGATTGTGACAGAAATAACCTGAAAAGTAGTCCATTCAACAAC